CCTGTAGATAAGAATAGAGTGGGCAAAAAGGCACCCACAACCAACTGCTAATTAAGATGCAGGCCAAAAATTCCCATCCGGCTCCAAAGGCAACCAGTGAATCTCACTCTTAATCCAAGGGTGGGTGGGAGGGATTGCAGAGAAGGCAGCAAACAGGCTGCTGTAGAGGGACCTAGCCTTCTTAAAGGCACGGCCCCTCCTCTCATCAAAAGACTGTGTCACCTGTGACACTTGCCTCTGGACGAATGGGCGGGCAAGACCTCCCTACAATGGCGACCCACCACTATCTCAGAGAGGTCATTGCCCACCCAGCCCAGAAATAACGAGACAAGACACAGGTATTGGGTTTAAAACTTGGGCCATAATTTTATTAACTATTTAAAGTCATATTCCCTCCCAAATGCAAGGGGGCCTACCGTAGTGCGATATTCTTCAATGTCTGGATAATCATAGATCTCAGGACATTTCCCATAGCAGGGCGAGCTCCTATTTCAGAATCGTGCTGTCTGCTGTACAGCATGCCTAATTTAGCACCTAATTTAACCTCTTGTCTCCTGTTCCTCTAACTGTTCTCTCTATTTGTGGCTAAATCTGCCATATCATTTATCCCCCACAACTTCATATCATTTCTGGGTTTTTCGTGTATTCTTCAGAGGGATGCATTAGAGTTTGCTTGCTTAGCGAAAACAGGGTTGTTGTCATGAGTGCAGCTGAAGACCTGGAACCAGAAGGGTTAACTGAGGCTGAGGAGAATGCTGAGCAATCAGAAACACCTGAATCGCCTGCAAATTCTCCTTCCCCAGCAGACAAGCTTTGGGTCAGGCTTCAGGGAAGACTTACAGCAAAGAGGTCAGAGGATCGCTCAAAGGCTGTCCACAGAAACGTCCGTTCAACTAGCCCGCAGTACTGACAAGATGGAAAGGTTTCCAGCAGCTCAAGGGGCTGTTTTACTATAAAAGCAGCTCCTAGTCAGCTAGAATTCCATGGAAGCAACAAGTCAAAACCTCTGGCTTGCATCCACGCTCCTACAACCTTGAACCGTGTTTCCTGAACTCCTGACTCTGGACTTGTACTCTGGACTACGTAGTGTGTTTCACCTTGGACACTGACCTTGGATTACGTTCTGTGAGTTGGTTTGGTAATTGGATATTGGCTTTGCATTCCTTGTATTCCTGACTTTGGACTGGCTTATCTAACCTCGGCTGTTGTAACCCCCAGGAATGTGACAGTTGTGCACATTTTGCAAAGGTTCACAATATGTGTTTTTGTTTTCTTTTAAAAGACACTTATTTTGCCAAATGGTTTACCTGTTTGTTTGTTTGTTTGTTTGTTTGTTTGTTTGTTTGTTTGTTTGTTTGTTTGTTTGTTTGTTTGTTTGTTTGTTTGGCACACATTGTCTGGAAGAATGTGCATATTTCCTGCCAAATGTCCATGTTTGGTCCAGAAGATGTGGATTAAAAAGCAAAGCAAACAAAGAAAAAAAAGCCCATACAGAGCAAAAAATTTTCAAATCCCTAGCAGATATTAGTTAATACCCCCTTAGGTTCTATTAGCTGAATTTTGTAAATATTTTTTTTTACTTCAGACTAGTTTTATTCTGAAAACCTGGCCTACCAGAACAAGGTAGGTTTACCTATGTAAGCCACCCTGAGTAGGCATTGTCTAGAGGGGCGGGGTAAAAATCTAAAAAATCTAATAAATAATAAGGTAGAGAAGTATATCTTCTTGGATTGTGGGCATTATGGACCAGAGCATGCCAGGCCGTCCTGTCTTCCATTGCCTCCCAGAGTTTGGTCAAGTTTATGTTGGTAGCTTCAATAACATTGTCCAGATATCTCGTCTACTGTTATCCCCTTTTCCTCTAGCCTTCATACTTTCCCAACATCAGGGTCTTTTCCAGGGAGCCTTCTCTTCTCATGAGATGGCCAAAGTCTTGGAACCTCAGCTTCAGGATCTGTCCTTCCAGTGAACACTCAGGGTTTATTTCCTTCAGAACTGATAGATTTGTTTTTCTTGCAGTCCAGGGAACTCTCAAGAGCCTCCTCCAGCACCACAATTCAAAAGCATCAATTCTTTGGCAGTCAGCCTTCTTTATGGTCCAGCTCTCACTTCCATACATCGCTACAGGAAAAAACCATAGCTTTGACTATGCAGACCTTTGTTGGCAAGGTGATGTCTCTGCTTTTAAGGATGCTGTCTAGGTTTGTCATCGCTTCCCTCCCAAGAAGCAGGCGTATTTTAATTTCGTGGCTGCTGTCACCATCTGCAGTGATCATGGAGCCCAAGAAAGTAAAATCTGTCACTGCATTTGACAAGAGGTGATGGGACCAGTGGCCATGATACCAGTTTTTTTGATGTTGAGCTTCAGACCATTTTTTGCACTCTCCTCTTTCACCCTCATTACAAGATTCTTTAATTCTTCCTCACTTTCTGCCATCAGAGTGGTATCATCTGCATATCGGAGGTTGTTGATATTTCTTCCGGCAATCTTAATTCCGGCTTGGGATTCCTCTAGTCCAGCCTTCCGCATTATGTATTCTGCATATAAGTTAAATAAGCAGAAGGACAATATAGAGCCTTGTTGTATTCCTTTCCCAATTTTGAACCAATCAGTTGTTCCATATCCAGTTCTCATTGTTGCTTCCTGTCCCATGTATAGATTTCTCAGGAGACAGATAAGGTGGTCAGGCACTCCCATTTCTTTAAGGACTTGCCATAGTTTTCTGTGGTCCACACAGTCAAAGGCTTTTGCATAGTCAATGAAGCAGAAGTCAATGTTTTTCTGGCTTTCTCTATAATCCAGTGCATGTTAGCAATTTGGTCTCTAGTTTCTCTGCCCCTTCAAAATCCTTCCTGTACTTCTGGGAGTTCTTGGTCCACAAACTGCTGAAGCCTACCTTGTAGGATTTTGAGCATAACCTTGCTAACGTGTGAAATGAGTGCAATTGTATGGTAGTTGGAGCATTCTTTGGCACTGCCCTTCTTTGGATTGGGATGTACACTGATCTTTTCCAAGTGCAATAACAGCAGCAAAAACAAGGAACACTACAGGCTGAGTGTAGTATATTAAAAATCATATCTATGCAGATTTGGTGTCAACCTTGTC